GAGAAATGGGGACAGAGCCGCCCAGCCGAGGGCGGTCGGGGATGCACAAAGCCCGCAGAGGAATTATTTTTCTTGGTTCTAGTTTGGTGCTAATAGATGGTTCATCAAATTGCTATTTTTTTAAAGACACACAGACCCTGGAGCCTCTCCCAATCCAATAGTAGTTGCTATTTAAGTCCACCCAGCAGCCCATGGGTTTAGGTTCGGGTGGGGCCCTGAATCAATGGTGTCGGGCACTCCCTGAGCTCCTCCCGGACACACGCCCCCACGGCCACAGTCCTGAGGCACCTGGGGCGCATCGTGGGGCCGGGGATGTGTGAAGAGGTTCTGGAGGGCTGGGGAGCTGAGACCTGGTGGAAAGATTCAGGGAAGCCCTGGTCCCCGAGGCGATACGGGAAAGCGGCGGGAACACTGCGTGATGGGCTGAGTGTTTGTGTTCCCCTAAAACTCACACGTGGAAGCCTGAACTCCCAGGGTGTCTGCATTTGGAGAAGGGTCTTCTAAGGAAGTAATTCAGGTTAAATGAGGACACAAAAGTCAGGCCCTGATCTTATCGGATTAGTGTCCTTAAAAGAAGAGACTCAAGCCCCAGTCGGCTTGGCTCAGAGGATAGAGCATCAGCCCACGGACTGAAGGGTCCCATGTTCAATTCTGGTCAAGGGCACGCACCTTGGTTGCAGGATCCACCCCGGCCCTGGACAGGGCCCATGCAGGAGGCAACCAGCAAATGTGTCTCTCCCCCTCTTCCTTCCATTCTCTCTAAAAATCAATGGGAAAATATCCTTGGGTAAGGATTAACAACAAAAAGAAGAGACTCAAGAGATCTCTCCCCTGACCCTATACACACACACACACACACACACACATACACTCACACACAGACACACACAGAGACATACATAAACACACAGACACACACTCACACAGACACACACACACACACACACACACACACACACACACGGGCCACGTGAGGACACAGCGAGAAGGAAGCCGCCCTCACCAGGACCCAGAGCCTCCAGAGGCCTGCCCGGTCGGTGGCATTTTGTTATAGCAACACGAACGGATGAGACATCCTGTGTTTCCTGGACATTTCCTGGCCCCCCTTCATTCCTCCAGGGCCCCTCGCCCTGCCCCCCACTCCCACCTCCACCCCCAAGGCAGCCTCCTTCTGCAGGATCGCCTCAAGCCCCTGCACTGGGGTGAGGGGTGCTGTGGTCTCAGGAGGCCCCATGGTGGTGGTGGCAGCAGCAGGACCGAGGGAACATTGCTCCAACCGTGAGAATCGCCACGTGTTTCTGGGGCTTGAAATAAACCCAGTGACTTCCCAGACAGTGCAGCAACTGTTACAGCTCGGAGGCCACGGGGGATGCCTGCGCTGGCTGGTCTGCTTCGTGGGGTGCTCTTGAGAGTGACCAAACTAACTTAGGGCCTCGCCAAAGCGGGCAGGGACAGCCTAGGTCGATGAGGCCCATTGTGTAACAGTGCGGTGTTCTCAAGCTGTAGACCAAGCATGTCAAACTCGCGGCCCGCACAACGAATATTTTTGCGGCTCAGCCAGTATAACGGCATGAGCAGTTACTTACAATTATGAAAGGAAATAAGTCTCCTGTCAGATCCAGAATTACTGATATTCACTGTGGGTCGGTTTGAAAGTAATCTCTGTGAACAAGATCTCCCCCGAAGCAGGAAAGATGGTAGCAGAGAAGAGATGCCAAGTATCAGGAAGAAAACATGAATTTTATCATTGCTCTTATGCTTTTTTTTTACACAATACTTTTCTAAATCAACCTACGTTTCTATGGAAATTGAATCTTTTGGTTTTTTGCGGCCACATAAACTTAAACCTTGCTTATTTGGCCCGTGTTAGCCATTGAGTTTGACATGCTTGCTGTAGACACTCGAGATCATATTACTCAGCTTTCTTCCCTCACTGGCCAATTCAGGGAAGACCCCTCATTTGAATAATATTATTTTCTTATTTCTGTAAATTTCCCTTTGCTGGGCAGAAAATTCTTGAGTTAGTTCATAGGCACCAGGCAAACAATAAAACCCACCCCATCCACGGATTGATCTTTTACTTAAGCTCCTCCTGGGAGCCCACCCGGTCCCTGGAGGGTATGGACCTGGGCAGTGGGGGTGGCTGAATCACAAACAGGAAAGGCTTGCTGTGGGATGTATTTTTAATGAGAACACATTGTTATACTGTGAGCATGTGGCATTCTTGCTGAATGAAAACATTTACAAGAACACATACACATTTATATCCAAACACCAAATGAAGTAGATACTTTAAAGGACCAGTTTGCACCGGAAATAAAATATATTATACAAAACAGGGGTTATATCCACAGTCATTAATTCTCATCTTCTACACAACACAACAATAAATTAAATCACATTATATGCAGATAGTTCTACTTACATTAGAATAATCAACTGTATGTAGCAGGTGCCGCTTTTACTCTTCCTTTGCTACCGGACTCGTGGTAGGGTCGCGTTGTTCAGTGGTCCTGTGTTTACATTCACAATGACTAACCCGGCCCAGAAGACAAGGGCTGCAGAGGGACCCTCCACAGTGTCTGGACCTCCTCTTGGTGTCACTACCCACCAGGCACAGGGGACAAAGCTCAGATTCCCAGGCCCCAGCACAACGGTCTGCAAACGCCCAGGCTCTCCCGGCTGCCTCGGGCACCTCATGGCTCTCTTGTCAGTAAGACACGCCACATAGAACACATTCAGCTTTGGTATTGAATAATGCATAGGACAGCCTGCTTCAAAGCCAACATGTCCCTTCTCTGCCCAGTTATCATGTGCTGTGGTCGCATTTTCTCTTCCCCAGTGAGAAACATTTTGGCGGGCTGTGCTGCGACTCACCCTGGGTGAATGGGCCCTTTATTCCTTCCTGCGTGGAAATGTAGGACTTTAACTCCTGGATCAGAGCAATGCAGCATTTTTTGCTAAATCTTAATTCTGCTTGTTCCAATCTCCCCCCAGGAATCACCCCACACCCGGCCCATCAGAGCGCGAGGACAGCCTGTGGATTTTTACTTCTGAGCCTCGCTCCCATGGCAACCCTGCCCCGGTGTTTGAAGCAGCTGAAGACACGGACGTGAACAGCATCAGCTGGTGTAGAATGGCTTTGCCTTTGGTAGGAATTAACGTTAGTGGTTAATGAGAAATTTGAACCAGCTCCAATCCAGCACCTTTTGAAAGTTGTTTTAATCCTAGAGTCTAGCTGTGGGGTACGCCTGCAAGAGATGTTTGGGAGACCGGCATGCTGAAAACCAGGTCAGGCTTGTTGGCGTCTATGCACATCCCAGGCTTGAAGTGCCCTGGGGCGTGTGTGGTCAAGTTAACATAAGGGTTCTGGTTGCAGCCAGCACCGGGCGGGTGGCCGTCTTCCTGAGGAAGTGCGGGGGTCCCTCGGCAAGCTTCTGCCTGCAGGGGCAAGAGCTGGCGCACCTTCACAGCCAGGACAGAGGTGAGTGGGGTGCGGGAGGAAGGAGGGGAAGACGAGGCAATTTGCAATTGTACCTTCTGTTCCTTTCAGAGAACGGAGCTCCTGATCCTTTCTGGGTGTGGCCTGTGCTTCTGGCAGAGCCTGGCCGTTGAAGAGGACTAAATTATTGGCTACTCCGCACTTCCAAAGACAACCCCAAGAAACACCACCTCCTCCTCTCCGCTGCCACCCTGACCCTCAGACACAGGCCCTGGTCTTAGAGAATTTCGCTTTCCCACTGAAGAAGGTCGGCCCATGATCAGCTCCCTCAGGAAGCACTGGGCCACAGCGCATAACCAAACAAGCCCCCGAACGCCGAACGCCGATCAAGGGCCTGCTCTCGGTGGGCATTGGGCTTTCTGCCTGCATCCAGTCAGCATCTAAGTTCTTTGTGTCCCGAGAAACATAGAAACGCGTGCCTTTCCTTTAAAAAAAACACTCCCTTAAGACACGGCCTGATATTCTATGTGGTTCCCTACAGAGACTTCCACCAACAGCCACTGCGTACCCCCAAGAAGGGGGCGCCACGGGACTTCCCTTCTGAATTCCTGTCACTCTGTGAGGCCTGCACAATGGCCTTCGTCTCACTGCCAACAGCCAGTCTCACCCTCCGAAACCCAGCGCCAGACAGAAGGAAAGTGGGAAATTGGGGGCAAAGAGGGCACAGGGGCCTTGAAGGAGTTTGTGACCCTAGAAGCCTGTGAATAAGGGAGCAGTGTCTGGCCATCAAGTCTTAGAATTTCAGGAATTTATTTCCATACACGTCTCCCCTCCCTCCGTGAAATGTTGCCTCTGAAACGTAGAGAACTGTTTTAAAGCCAGTGGAGCCGTGTCTGTGGTTCAGGAAAGGACACGCTAATGGTGCTTCCAAGAAATATAATGTTTACAGGGGATTCCTCGCAGAACCTGCGGTCAGGGTGGGGGGAGGACGCACCCTCTATACAGAGAGTGTTTTCGGGATGGAAGTGAGCCTCTGGAGAAAGCTTTTATTTCTGAGTCCAGGAAAACAATCTGAGAAGGTGACAATGATGAACATAAAGGCTACACTTACTTCCAACACCATGAGTAGATGTGAAAAGCATATACCTTGACCGGCGTCGATGTCGGCTGGCTTGGCCAGCTGGTACTGACCTCTTTTTAAACCCGAACTCCCTGGCCTTCAAGGGAAAACTGTATAGAATGGTTTAAGAACTAAAGCCCCATTTATTTGACTGTGTGACATGTGGCTCCTGGCGGAGGATAAATGACTAGTTGTCAAAGACTTTGCTTAGCAGTTAGGAACGTACTCTGAAACTACAATCTCCACAGGTCTGAACCCAGGGTAACCTTGGGCCAAACACCCACACTTTTTGCAAATGTTTCCAACTGAATGGAGTCTTCCAAAACATAAGAGAGTTTTGGTAAGTCATATGATGAGTTCAAGGCAGAAAGTATAGACAGCAGACATAAGCAATCAATCTTAAGAGCCCTATGATTGCTTTACGATTGGAAGAGAATGGCATCCACATCTGTGAAACCTCATAATTTGTTCTGCCATTTTTAAAAGACTAAAATTCTCATTTTTACAATTTTATCTGGGGACATAATAATATTAACTTCAGAACTATTCCTCTACCTAAAGTAGAAATAAAATATATTTGCTTTAAAAATGTGAGTTAATGGAACCCTGTGTCGATTATAGGAAGGCTAGAAATGTTTATACCCAACAACTGCAACCAGGTAGAGTGTTTTCCCCCTGAAATAAGCACATAGGCTCAAAATTGAAATGTCTCTTTACAAACACATGATAAAAGAAAATGAGTATCTCTAAAAGTCATAACAAACATCACTGAAACAAACTAGAGAGAAATAAGTTCTCAATTCATAAAAACCAAATGGAATCAAGCCTTCGCTTTGAGGAGCCCTGAGCTGCTCATCACTTTACTTCTCTGGGTTTTACTTCCCAGGCTCTCTTCCTATGATAGGATTTCTGGAGCTTGCCTTTCTTGCTTTCTCTTTCCATCCTTTTTTAAAATTTAGTACTTTTTCCTTTGCATCCAACATGGAGAACTACAACATCATTGTTCCAGTTGATCATCCTTAATTCTTTGATCATGTTCTCCAGCTGGCTGCAAAACATTTTTAAGCCATAAAGGGAACATGTGCCTCACCCAGAAGTAATCCATTCCCTGTGACTGACTGGAGTAGGAGTGACAGGGGCCAGCTCCTCCAGGAAGCAAGGTGGGACCAACTTCCAAGACACACGGCTTCCACTCATCGGCCTCCGCCCTCACCTGTACGAGCTATGACCTCCCAGGAATTGTTCAAACTCCACTATTGACCTCCCTACACATGGTCTGTTACAGACAGTAAGATGATGTTTAAAACTATTTTCCAGATGCTCAAATGTTATCAAGGACCGAGTGACCTAATTACATGCTAGCTAGTCCAGCAATGTCCCATTCTGTCCTCACCGTCCATTTTCTCCACGAATCATACAGTGACAGCCTGAATGTCAACCTGTGTGCAGAGTACTGGGTACAGCCTGGAGATTCAGTAAAGGCTTATTCAACTTTGTCCAAAGTCCTTATACCCACACCCACAACCATGGTTACACAGGACACTGGTGGCTGACTACAGAACTCTGCGGAATTAACTGACAGGGAATATAGTCGCTACGCAGATTCTCTCTTTTAACCCAAATCATCACTGTAAGTTTTGGTAAAATGCCATGTATTTATCATTTCTGTGTTTACTCTCAAGCTCTAACTCTCTTATAAAGTTCTTCTTGAGGAAAAAGGGCTGCCTCCCCTTATAACATCCTACTTAATTCTAGTACATTTCACCCTTGATCCTGAAACTCATCATTTGGCCAGAATTGGAAGGGATCTATCCCTAAAACAACGTTCATTTAAAGCAGGTAAATTAATGTGCTCCTGCAGGGTCTGTAATCGGAAGACATTTCTAGGTCTCTGGAATTAAAGCAGCAGTTTGCAGTTGGGTCTGGCCCAGGGGAAGAGGACAAGGGGGGGGGGGGGCGTTGGGAGAGAGAAGCATCTTTCATCACCGTTATACCCATGTTTTTCAAATATAAGTGAAATTTAATCTTAAAAATGAAAAAATAGACACATTTTCTAATAGCAAAATATAAGATCAAAATACTTAAAAATAAAATGTTAGTGGGAAATAGGGCTTTGTTTTTTACATTTTAAAAAATGAAACATTTTAGATTTGCTTTTCTTGTATAAACCCTCTTGTCTCGATGATAGTTACAACTGTCCAGAGCAGCTTTTATGAGACACTGAGGGGGCCAGGAGGGAATCCTTTGTCAAGAGAGGAAGTCAGGACCTGAATGCATACATTGGACAGAGCCGTCCTCAACCTGGCCAGCCAGCACTAGAGAGAGGCACGAGTGTATTTCCCACCTTGAGATATTTCATTACATTTTCCTCTTCTTGGGTGTTAAATTCTTTCTAAGAATATTCTACTTGTAAAAATGATTTTATTCTAGCTATAAAACATTTCATTTGAGAAAACCCCATTTTATAGCCTTGTGTGAAATGCCCCCAAAAGCCAGCAAGATAGGGAGACATCAGATTCTCAAACCATAAATCCAACACAGGCCCTGGAAACAGTGTGCACGTTTAACAGAGTGACATTATATTCTGATATTTTCTTGTCACGAGATGAAAGGCCGAGAGGCATCTGATGACTAATAGTAGTTCCTGAGCTTCTAAAGAAATTTTACAACGAAATGACTAAATGCTTAAAAGAATGAGTTCTTCAAGAGCACGCCTCTGTTCCAGTCATGTCTTTCATCCCATCAATCTCCCCAAAGAATCTCGGGCCGAAAGCAAAGGCTTCCTTTTAAGCCACCGAAAGATGGGATCTGATGGAGTCTTCCCGGAGCTCCCGATGTTTCCCGAGGTTTCTTTCTTCTCGCCGGTTTCGTCTCTCAATGGTTATTCTGTATTTCTTCCTGGGTAAAGGGAAAGTGAATGTAGTAATAAAACCTCCGTTGGCTACAAAATACTATGGTTTCTCTTACAAAGAATGCCCTTGGGGGACATCTGGGTTGGGGTTGATAAATGAGAAGTGACAGAATATGAAACCCTGGTCAGAGATTAAAGTAGAGTGCCCCCAGGCGCCCTGACCTTATTCAAGGAGGAAAATTGGCCCGCTTTCTGAAATGCCATAGAACAAGCCTTTCCCTTCTTCCCTGGGCGCCTGGTGGGTTCAGTCGTGTCTATTGGGCCACAGAAGCGCTCCCCAACTCCCAGGACAGGCCCCAGATAAAGATCAGATTACGTGCACTGAGCCAAAGGAACAGGAATACAATTGTTCCCACCAAGAGCCACAGACACCCAGAGCTACATTTCCATGCAGAAATGAAGAAATTGTGGTCGAATGGCTTAAGAATAAGCCACAAACTCAACCACCAAAGATTACAAAGGGATCGACCGCCCTTGTGGTGCGAAACTGTCAGTATCTTGGACACAGAGAAATATGACAATTTTACAAGCCTTGGGGCTTAACCACAGTGGTAACCAAGTGTGTGGGGTCTCCAAATGCTCAGCACCGACCAGCCTGAGAGCATGGGCCACTCGGAGCTGCTGCCTCCTCTCCAGAAGGTGAACCCAGGCACCTCCTTCTGACCCGGAGGAAGCCTGAGAACGGGGCCATCTATTTCCCCTTTGTGCAGATTTCCTCTCCATGTACACACTGGGTGGGTGGTAGGGATTTGGGTCAGAATATCTGTATCAAAGGATAGTAGCTGTTCTGTGGCCCACAGGCCAGTGCAGCAGGAACCCCTGCCCTCTCCCTAGCACGCTAGCCCACTGACCACCACACCAGGGGGCCCACCAACAGATGGCTTTGTTCTTCCAACCACCATGCTTTTGGGGTAAGAGCAAGATATGGGCAGGTCACAGAAAGATCATGCAAAGGCAAGTGACAAAGGCAATAATAGAGTGAATTTTTAAACCCGATTACAAGGTCCTAACCTGAAAAAGTAGAAAGCCATTAGCAAACCAGCTCCTAGTAAGGCCCCCACCACAATTCCTGTGACCGCTGATTCTTCTAGGCCACCTGCTTGAGAAAAAAATAGATCATCAGAGTTCATTTTGAGAAACAGAAAAGGTTCCTCCTAACCTTTCTGTTTTTGAATAAGAGCACACATTTATTTTCCCCATCACATACAGAATATTGGCAAATATCCATCACATACTAGATCATAAAGAAAATCTCAGGACATTTCAATGAATAGGTGTCATTCAAACCCTGAATTCATACGTCCTAACCTTTCATTCATTGAAAAGCTTCGTTCTCTGGACGGTGTTTCTCAGTTTCCCACTTGAGAACATTTTCCTTTCTTTTTTGAGAAAGATTTCTAGGGGATCCTGCACTTTTCCTAAGAAGCACCTAAGAGCACACTAGATGAGTGCACAGCCTGCTACAGGGAGCACACTAGATGAGTGCACAGCCTGCTACAGGGAGCACACTAGATGAGTGCACAGCCTGCTACAGGGAGCACACTAGATGAGCGCACAGCCTGCTACAGGACAGCGGGAAGAACGCCGGCTCAAGAGGACTCGAGGGAAAGTGGAACAGGTGTCCAGCTCCATCCACACTTGTGTGAGTTTACATCAGAGAGGACAACTGGACAGACCGTGGAATCGACCCGCATGCCTTACTTTCACCGATGGGTGGGGACACGCCAAAGCCCTGGAAGTTTTGGTGAAAAATTCACTGGGTTAACGTTCTCTTTTTAGATGTTCTCTCACCAACGCCAGAGTTTCATGTTGAAATGTCCTACATAGCATTGTGAAAACGTGAGTAACAGCAGAAACAATCAAGTTCAGTGGTGTCCTGGTCATTATATAAAAATGACAAATAGCTAGCTTGTCTATAAAGAGTTCAGGGTACAGCCTTCAACCCATCACCTTGTTTAATTCTCAAAACAGTCCTAAGAGTTGGGCAGATTCCCTTCATTTTTTTTTAAATCTTTAATTTCTTTATTGGTTAAGGTATTACAAATGTGTCCTCATCCCCCCATTAACCCCCAACCTCCCTGCTCCCCCAACTCATGCTCTCATCCCCCTGGTGTCCGAGTCCATTGGTTTGGCTTATATGCATGCATACAAGTCCTTTGGTTGATCTCTTCCCCTTACCCCCACCCTCCCCTACTTTCCCTCTGGGGATTGAAAATTGAGGCTTAAAAAAACAAAGGAATGCCCCTGGGGCCACGAAACCAGTAAGTGATAAGGATGGGACTTCAAATCCAGGCCCGATAACTCCAGAGACTGTTTCTACTCATTTCTGCCTCACTCCTTCCTGGAATCACTGCCTACGCAAAAGTACCCACAGACCCAAACACAATGTGCATCCATATGTTAGCATATGTGACCAAGTGGCCTAAAGAACGCTATTAACTTTGTTCGCCCTCACTAGCTTATAAGAAAAGGGTCTTCTAAAGCACTGATTTCCAATGCTGTTCCTATGTGTAAGCTCCTGATAAGAATGTCCACTTGCTTCTGTGTTTATGACAGGCCATACATAAATAACAGACTTAACACTCATTCCCCAGTTTGTAATCTGTGGGTGTTTAAGGGACATCATCTGTTTGGTTCTGAGGGATCAGCGGAAACTGCAAACTTCGAAAATTAGAATGAGACTTGCTACGAGGGATGAGTAAGTGAGTGACGTCTATTATTTGGTATTTTGATTTTCTCTAAAATGGTAACTCTCATACTCAATGTCATTTCCTCATTCATCTCTCATAGCAAGCCTCATTCTGATTTTCAGAGTTTGCTCACAGTAAGGTTATAATAAGAGATGAACACGTAGGGAGAAGGCTTTTGCCAGTTTGGAAACGGACGGAAGAGAAGAAAGACATAGAAGCTTCTGGTGAAGGTGGGATGCCAGTTCGTGAGTTATTTCTGTGGCTTTGACCACAACAGAAGAGAAATCTGAACCTTCAGTCCTGAGCCCCCGGATCACACATCTTCTAACCCCGCATCATGCTGACACCACTGATGGCGGAGCAGCGGTTCCGCCCCTGGACTTACACGACTTGCAGGGGGAGCTGCTGGTGTGCTCCACAATCCTGGTCTCATCGATCCTCAGCTTCAAGGGCCCCCAGGGATACTTGACGTTGGGCCGCATTTCAAAGCGACCTTCTTTTCCAAAGTAATCACCAATCACCTGTTTCAAGGCCAAAAGCAAGGGGACCAGCTGAGAGGTCAGTCACCTGTCTCCCTAGGAGGCGCAGGGCGGGCTCCCGGTGTGCACCCTGACCCCAGCCGTGTGTTTGAGGACTTTGTAAGTCGGGATTTACAGCTGCTGAGTCTCCCTGAAGGTGGGCATCACTGAGGGAGGGCTGTGGCCCCTCAAGGCAAGGTGGGTGGTTACACAGGGAACCATGATCTCGGGTTCACAGCTTTCCCCCTGCTGATCCGGGGCTGCTGTCCACCCATCCCCACCGGGCAGCCCCGTGGCCAGCCCTTCTGAAGGCCCACGTTCCTCTGGGCAGGGAGACCAGGTCTGCTGGGCCAGGAAGTGTAAGACAGGAGCATGGCCTCACACCACTCAGTCGGCCCCCACATAATGGAAGCGTTAAAGAAAGTAGCTCTTAGGGACTCCTGGCCTCACACGCCCCTGAGGCGGGATTACATTCTCCTGGCTGAGGAGTTTACCCTGCTTACACCTTGTTTCCGGGCGGAACTCCTGTTTGATTGGTCCCTCTGGTTCCCGGAAAATCATTATTCTTTTATGCTCAGTCCAAAGGTCTCTCTCAGTTTCAGGTTTAAATGCCTTTCATCAGCTCCTCAGCCCTGATCTAGAGGCACCGCCATCCGGGGTCCTCAGGCTCCATCTCTCTTGTCACCAGCCTGCTCCTCCGAGTGGCTGTCACATCTCCGCCCGTCCCTTTTGAGGGAGGTGCAGCTGGCTCTCCAGGCTGTTCCATGGTGTGGCAAAAAGCATTCTCCACAATCACCAGAACACAATCACTGTGTCCTGACACCCTACAGAGCACCTCACACACTGTCACCCTGCACCCCCACAATGACCCTCCCTCACAGAGGGGAGACCAGAATACCCACCACACCCGGACCAGCCCAAGCAGCAGATCCGACCTGAAACACTGCATCCTATCTAATAGAGGGAATATGCTAATTGACCCTCATGCCATCACAAAGATGGCGGTGCCCACAGCCAATAAGGAGGGAATATGCTAATTGACTGCCATGCCCTCAAAGATGGCGGCACCCACAGCCACAAGATGGTGGTGTCCAGTCCCCTCAGCCCCCAGCCTCCCAGGGCCGTCCGAGGCTCAGGTAACCAGGGCCGGCTGAGGCTTGCGCTGCCGGCAGTGGCAGCAGCAGAGGTGTGATGGGGCATCGCCTTCCCCTGATCGCCGGGTCGCCTCTGGCCCCTGAGGGCTCCCAGACTGTGAGAGGGGGCAGGCCGGGCTGAGGGATCCCCCTCCAGTGCATGGATTTTCATGCACTGGGCCTCTAGTATGTGTATAATCTTTATTTATAGACTGATCATTTAAAGACTTTTCCTAGGTCTCATTTCATTTGGGGCTCATAATCACGAGAGAGCAAGGAATATCTCCATGTGACAGCCCAGGAAACTGAGGCAGAAAGCACCCTCCCAGTGAGGGTCAGAGGCTCATCTTTGTGTCCAGGGCACTCTTCCCGCTCCGAGGTGCTGTCCAGAAACACCACCATCTTTGGAAACGTTAACAATTGTCCAGTTCGTAGCCCCTTCACCCCCCGCCCAAAACAAAGTCAGGTTGTAAGGGAGGAGAGAAATACACCATCTCACTTCATCTCTCTCACCCACATCCCTCCTGCATCGTAGGACTGAGCTGTGATTGGTGGCCCCTTAAAAGGAATGATTTCCCCACTTGGGGTAACCGGGGGACTGAATCCAGAAGTCTTCCCTGATCCCCTCAACCGACGTGAGCTCCCCACTACTTGGAAACCCCAGGTATGGGGCTCATTCTCATTTGGAGGCTGCCTTGGGGACAGCTATTAGGACATCAGGACGAACACATTCCTTGGGATCCTAACCAGCAGGAGAGCGGGCAGAGCCTGGCTCGCTTACCTCCTGTGTGCCCGCCTCTGCGTCGGTCATGGCGATCACCGAGAAGTCCCCGTACCGGTCCCCGTTGGTGTCTATGGACACCTGCCCGGCAATACCTAGAGGATGACACAAGAGGAGCACCAGGTTGGTTACTTAAAGCAACGCTGAGCCAACGAAAACGAGGCATGAACGGACGGGATTGTTCAGGCGCCCTCTGGCCACAGGGAACCTCATCAGACGCGGAGCGTTTGTGTTGGCCTTGGGAAAGACATTGTAATTTCATCTGTGTCTGCATTCCTAAATTCTTAACATTTCTCCATTTAAAAACGAAAAGAAAAGGAAATAAATGACCTTCTTTGAGAAATATGCATGTGTGTTTTTAAAGAAGAGTAAGGCTAATCCTGAAAGCAGCATGCTTAGCCCAGAGTTTTCTATTAATTAAAACAAAAGCAAACTGCCAGGCAGGAGAAGTGGAGGTGTGGCCGGCTCCTGGACTTGTCACGGGTTCGTGTTATCACTAGACAAACGTCAGAAGAGAAACCCTATTCCAGGCCCAGGACCCGGCCAATGTGCTCCGCTCTGGGCAGTGTGGTGCGCAGGACGGGGAGTGCCTGGCCCCGGTCATGGGAGCTGAGAGTGAAGGAAGAGTTCATCTTTCTCCCACTATCTTCATTCACTGTTCTGTTTCTGTTTGGGGGGAGTTTTTTCCAGTTTTATTAAGGTATAATTGACATTCATAACTGTTTGAGTTTCAAGTGTCCAGCATAAAGCTTTGACTTACCACAAGTTCAGCGACTATTCATTATCTCACAGAGAAACAGTAAATCATTTATTGTTTGCCCAAATGTTTGCGTGGTGATGCTGCCGCGGAGGCAAAGGTGAATGGGACACATTCTCCGCTCAAGAGAGGGGCAGCCCTGAGGAGGGATTTAGCCTGTGGAACCCAGAGGTCTGCATTTGGATCCCGGCTCTCATGCTTACAAGCACCGTGACCTTGAGCAAGGACTTTGGCCGGTGAGACTCAGCCTCCCGGACCATGAAAGAGTCATAACAGTGTCTCCCGGCCAGGAGGCTGTTGACGAGATGAAACAGGTAAAGCCCTGTCAACGCAGGTTGAAGAGAAGTTGGTTGCTTTCCTCTGCTGTCATCGCTACTATCGCCAGGCCTGACCTCTGGGAGAGGACGCCTGGCAGTGCCCACACCACGCAGAGCAGGAGGCCCCGTGCAAAGGCAGTCTTTCATGGGCACGTGGGTGAAGTCCATGGTTTGGACAAGCAGCCATCAGAGAGCGGGGAGTGTTCGAGGCAGAAAGGCTAGCCTTGTTGGCATTTACAAAGGCGCTGACGCTGGAAAGCAGAGTGGCCGTGAGGTTTCTGGGAGGTGGCCCGGGTGCATGGAAAGGAGCAGAGAGAAAGGCTGGACCAGAGTGGCCAGAGTATGGAGAGCCCCGAGTGCCCACCGGAAAGACTGAATTCGCTTTGGCCAGCAATGGTGGCTTACAACAGCTAATCAACCAAGCAAGTATGTCTCCTTAGTTGATATTAAATGTCTATATTGTAATTTTCATTAACTAAGTAATAGAGTGCAAATGTCAGCTACATGCTAAGTCACCACGGCTATTCATTTTCCTTTATTTCAAACTGTGGCAGAGTTCAGTGTAATTCTTAATTGGTGTTTCCATTGATCTGGTTCTCTCCGGAAGTAAAATGAATGTCTGGGAAAAGGGATCCCAAGGGAAAGTTCCATCCTCAAGTGTGGCTTGGAGAGGACAAGTATTTGGGTTTACTGTCCTTGGGTTGTGGTTTGAAGGCCTGCCGATTTTTCCAGACTTTGGTCTACTTTGCCAGAAACAGAATGGAGTTGCCATTCATCTGGATTTTTTGTCTTCTTAATATAGACTGGTTACAAAGGGTACACCTACCTCGAACTTGTTTATCCTTGACAGCCTATACAACTTTTAAGTCATGCCATTTTTTAACTATATATATATATTTAAATATATATATATATATCCCCAAACGTATTGGTTATCCCAAAACCTTTTTTATTCTGTTCAGAGGGCTTTATGATAGTGTGTTCTGTAAGTGTTTTTGCAGAGTGTTCTATAAGACAAGGTGGCCCTGGTAATCCAAGACCTCACTATACTTGAAGCTATTACAATTCTGCCAAGAAATGAGGTGAGAACCTTCAGGGCAGCCGATTAGCAAGTGATACTTCACCTGAGAGTATTGTACGTGAGGTGTGATGGTCAGGCTGCGGCAGAACTTTCCTGTATAATTACTGAGACAGCCCACCCTCATTTCTATGGGCCTGTAGTGGAGTTCACAGTTTGAGCCACAATCCTATTTACCTTGTCACTCTGACCTCTCACACAGAGAGCAATTTAGCTTCTTCCCGGGCCATGGTTGAGAGTTGGTCATAGGTTTCTCGGTAATAAAATCTAAATTTGTCAAATAACATCCAGAGTATTTTTCCCTAAGAACTTAATGGTCCCTTATGGTGACCATTAAAATGAAAATTGATTTTAAATTTAGAAAGGTTAAAGTTTTTCTTAGAGGTCTTTTGGGGGCTACCCTCAGCTGGATCACTGTTTAGTAAAGAGAATGGAAACTTACCTTGGCTTTAATTGTCTTTACATTTAGACAAATGAGATTCTGCATTTAAGCTGAACTCATACAGTTGATTGTTTTAGAACTCATTTCCTATTGCCTGTGTAGACCTGGCCCTAGAATGGAAGACCAAGACGGCCTATGGGAAAATTCAGTTCATGCCCTCTAAACAAAACTGAATCCAGCCATTGTGGGCACCTGCCCTTCCCTTAACAACCTCCCTCAGAAGACCAAGAACAAATGACCACACCACGTAGTGAGGAATAGCTAAGAACGGGATGTGGCCTACCAAGATTGTGTCCACACACACACCAGTTTCTCAGTGTATTGGGCACAACTTCTGGAAAATTTGACTCTGTCCTAATATGCCCCCTGAATTATCCTACTTGATTCCAGCTCCCAGCTAAAGCAGTCTAAGGTTGAGCAAGACAATCCTGGAGGCCTGTTTGTTCACATTCTACAATCTGTCAGAAGTTAATCAGATGTCACTCTAGTTTTGAGTAAGATGTGGCATCCACATAAACCACCAAGGAGCAATGAAATCCACCACTTGTCACCATAGCTAAGGCCAAGACAATTCTAGATGGAACATGACCCCTTTGTGCTGCCCTGCCCCTTCTAATAACTGAGAACAGAACAAGACAGTGGAGTGGATAGGAGTCCCAATTGGAAAAAAAAAATGTGTGCTTCAAATCTAGACTTAGAAGTACTTGTTCCCATCATTGAAAATGTCATTAGTTAGATTGCAAATAAATATAGGCCTAGCCCCAATGCATTCAAGGATTCAAAGGAGGAGGTAGCATAATGCAAAACTGAAAGGACTCTTGTCAGTCATCAACTAGTCCAACGCCCAAGGGTTAGGTGATGGAGAAGTCCAAGGGACTGAGGGTGGAGTCCATGACCAGGACACGGGTTTCCTGGTCCAGCGATCTGTACTCTATGTTAGTGGCTCTCACATGATGCCCTTTAGCATGCTATAGTTTATTTTCCACACAGCCTCCACAGGACCCCTTTTAAAGACTCAAGATAGATCATCTTCCTCAAACCATCTGATGGCTGAACCCAAAGTCCTTGGTGCAGCTCCCAGGTCCGTGGGATCTAGCCCCCACTACCTCTCTGACTTGGACTCCTATCACACTGCCTCTCCCATGCTGTTTCAGCCTCCTTGCCTGTCTGGGGGCACTCAGAGCTGTCCCACAGATACATTCAAGGTCTCTGCAGTTGCTGCTCTCTCTGGAATGTTCTCTCATGAACATAATTTCTTTCCCTTCCTTCAGGTCTCTACTCAACTGCCACTTACCAGAGAGACCTTCCCTGATCACTCTATTTAAATTAATAGTCCCACACGACACTTTCTATCTCTCTATCCTGCTTTATTTAAAGCCCCTGAAATGGCTATTTGTTTATCATTAGTTAATCCCACTACCATGGAATCTCATATGATTGCAGGGAATGTCTTTCACTTATTGCTAAATCCTCAGTATCTTGAACAGTGCCTGGCACATAGTAGGTGCTCAAGAATATTTGATGAATGAATGAGTGAGTGAATATGAAGTTGATAACTGCACGGCTCATGCTGAGTCTCGTGTTAATTTTCTTTGAGTGCTGGTGAGGCCAGAGGAAGCCAGCCCTCTATACACTGTTGGCAAGAATATAAGCTAGTAGACCTTTCCAGAAGACATTTGCCAATATCTAATGATATTCCACAACTAGAAATATTCCCTGTTGGACGTACTCACAGAAATTCATCAAGACACGTAAGATGCATCATAGCAGAAACTATAAACAGCTCAAGTGTGCATCAATAGGAGATTGGTTAAAGAATTCCTTGTGCAGCCATATGGTGGAAAACTATGGAACTATCGTTGAAAAATGTGCTGAATCTATGAGTACTCATATGGAACGTTTTTGGCATGAAAGTAAAATAGCTATGATGAGGAATGGTATTCATGGTATGACGCTTTTTGTATAAATTTTTTAGATACGATATAATTCAAATGCATATGTGCTGGCAGAAGACAAAATATTTTTAAACCGAATCATAGGGAATTGTTAATAGTGACCACATTGGAGGGAGGGGACCAGGGCGAGGAGGAAAACTTTCACTTTTCATTTTGTGCATTCCTGGACTGTTTACATTTTCCAGCCAAGAAGAGTCTCATTCTTGTACAATTTTTAAACGTCAACAGAGGTTGCTTGAGTGATGAGATGACGGGCCATTTTTTGGTTGTTAAGAAAGCCACAGCTAATATTCATCATTTTATAAATAAAAGAAAAGTGAGGGCTCACTAGACCTGCTCATCATCTCAAACCACTCAGGTTTGAACAGAGAAATGTATATCTGGGATCTTTCATTTTAAAACTGACTACAGAACTCTTCACAGATTGATTGTTTGTTGTGAATGAAGCTTGTGATGAATTTAATTTTAAGAAACATGGAGTTTGCCCAACAATCAGGAGAGAAGCCACTGCCCGTTTCAGTGGGACTCTCTCAAAGCCCTTGCACGTGCTTTATCTCTGAATTTTCACAGCAAGCCTGTGGGCCGGCTTGATTTTGACTTATTGTCCTTACTGCACAGCTGAGGAAAGCAAGGCCCCACGGTCGTAAGAGCAAAATAGAACCAGCAAAGAAGCAGCTCAAGGAGCTGCAAAGTGCCGTCGACGTAAAAACTGGAGCCTCACCTTCAAAGGTCCTGTTCCACGTCTGCTGGATAATTTTCCCTCCGTCCTTCTTGCTGTAACCAGCTCTGAGCACCTCGTGCAAAGCCAGGACGTAGAGCAGAATGGCGTCATGGAACCCTTCCACAAACATGTTCACCTGCAAAGGAAACCCCAGCTGGGTGAGACCAAACACCAAATGACTCAAGTTGAGGAATAATATAATCGAATAAAAATGATCAACACGTTAGACTCCAGGCCTGCGAGCATGGCAGAGGCGGGCAGAGGCGTAGCTAACGAGAATGGTGGCATGGTTTTCCTGGCACAGGTTTAGTGAGGAAAACTTTTCCCCAGTTTGGGAATTTGGAAAGCAGACAAGATAGTACAGAATTTTAAAAAACCTGTACCTGTTGGCTAGGTTACATGTTCCGGGTGCATCAGCCTTTGCACAGGCGTGCTCCTTCCCCACGTTGCTCTCTGCCTCAGCCAACTTGAGTCCCACCTCCCCCTGGAGGTTTTCTCCACCTTCAACAGCCCCTCTGATCTCTCCGTGCTCTGAACTTGGAACTTAGCTAAAAGAAGAGTAGGGATCCATTCGCTCATATTCAAATGCTATTGAATGCCTGCTGGAAGGCTCGGCATGCAAAGAGGACTGGGTGGCGTCATTCCTGCCTGTCGCCATTTATGCTCTCTATTCTATCAGCAATGACATCTTCGTTTCTCGTTCTAATGTGTGTCCTGAGTCGTTGCAGTGCACCTCAGTGCTCCCCAGCTCCACTCCCTGCCAAGCTCCAAGGACAGGAATGGAAAAAGGCCTGGCTCAAGTAAGGAAACTTACAGCTTCCTGTGGACTTGGGAAATTCACTCAAATCCCTTTGAGCCTTATTTCCTCCTATAAGCACCATTTGTAAGTTCTAATACCACATTTAAACCCATCGCAACATTCAATAAACATGAAATGAGCAAATACGATCCTGAAACACTGAGTAGCTAACAAATACTGCACAAAAGTATGAAGAAAAATCGAGCCTTCTTTCAGGAGAAAGCATCAGGAATGTAATGCCACGCAGCAGAATGAGCGGGCATCCCATGGACCGACAGTCAGGGTGAGGCCTTTGAGGCTGTTTCCTGCCCCACCCCCAGTTCAAATACAGAAACATTCACAGAAGACACAGTTCAACATCCAGTCCTACTTGGCTTCATCCCCCCCAAAGGGCCGGTAAAGTCCTGTTTGTGTCCCAGAAGCAAATAGTTCAGATGTGACCAAGCCTACTGCTGAGAGGCAGGTCAGAAAAATTGTAGGGAGCCCAGCTTCACACTTCCTAGCTGTGTTTCCGCACCACGCTGGGTCTCAGTTTTCCTCATCTGGAAAATGAGAGAGATAGTAATACCTATCTTAGGGGGGCTGCCATTGTGTTTAAACAAATCAATAGGTGTAAAAGAGTCAGTATTCACTGTTAGTTCTTGTCGTTATTGTCTAGAGATGGTGAATTATAAAGCGAGGGGTCCTGGTTAGCTTCTCATTTCTAGTAGTGGTATTAATCAACTTACTGGTATAACATATCTTACTGACCCATTTATACTTAACGGAAACTTTGTTCATGCTTTGACACCCCAACTCGTTCTCTTACTTCCTCAATGTCCGGTCCTTAATTCTGTCCAAGTATGATGGGTGCAGCCCAAGCTGGTCAATTGCACTGACCCTCTGGGGTGGGTGGAGGATAGAAAAGAGTGCTGGCTCACAGGAGAGCTCTGAGTCAGCTGCTGGACCCAAAATCTAATCCTAGTCCTGACACGTTGTTTAATCTCTCTGATCTTCCATTTCCTCGTTGGTTTAATAGGGGTTTAGCACCTATTCATCTCCTAGAGCTCTCCTGGGGATGAAATGAATGAGGACATGTAGAACATCTAAAACAATTCCTGGGACCATGGAAGCAAAGAGTAGACAATGGCTCTTGCTCTTAGCCAGCACGCTTAAGTCTCAGAGTCACTATTTTCTTAGGCAAAGCAGAATGTGTAGAAATAACATCTACTGGTCAAAGATAATTTTCTGCTGATTCGGCTATGCTAATTAAATTTTCCAAAGGAATATGAAATTTTCACTTAGACCATGAAGTCATTGTGGCTTGAGAAAGTACGCATGCTGATGAGTTAATGAGTTTTAATAAGTGAACTTTGGCTGTGTAACTTCATTCTCGGGCCACTAAACATATTTTTTCAAAAGCTCTTTCTCCTCTTTGATAATTATATACACACCATCCTGCTCCAGAGGGCAGTCACAGAGTCACGGAAAGTGGAAGATGCAAGGTGCTCAGAAAAGCTCTGGCCTAACCCTTCCTTACTTGGAAGACGAAAAGAGCATCGCTCCCCCTCAATCGTCCTGCACTCTGTACCTGACGGCTGTTCCCTTCGTACTCCTTGTTCCTGGGCCACCTAGGACAACCCTGCTTCAACTGTGAAGTACCTCCGCCTCTCTTCCTCCTCCTCTTGACGCCTTCCCAAAGTCCTAAACCAAGGCCATCATAACACCTACCTACTGCTGGCCACCTTAAGCATTGGACATGGCCCCAGCACCACCCTCATCTGACTCTCCCCCTTCCTTCTTTCTTTTTTTTAAAATAGATTTTTATTGATTTCAGAGAAGAAGGGAGAGGGAGAGAGAGATAGAAACTTCAATGATGAGAGAAAATCATTGAACGGCTGCCTTCTGCATGCCCAACCCTGGGGATTAAGCCTGCAACCCAGGCATGTGCCCTGACTGAGAATCAAACTGTGACCTCCTGGTTCATAGGTCGATGCTCAACCACTGAGCAACAGTGGCATATTCTCCTTCTTGATATGCCCTCTGTGCTGCCCCCTCTACAACCCAGGATGGGAAGCGCGATCATCTGGCTGAGAAACATGAACCTGGATTCCTTTTTCCTACCAGGTTTAATGGTAGAAGAAAATAGATTGGTTCTAAACACACGTCCAAGTCTGAAAACCCATGCTACCCTGATTTGCAAACGAATTGAAAATTGTACTTCCTTTCTTTCAAAGTAGCTGAGTGTCTCCCTCTCCTGCCAAAGTTAGCAGGAGAGCTGCTGACCCCCACCGAGGCTCGCTGGCACCCCAACCTGCTGCGGAGGAGGTTTCATAACACCTACCTCATAGGCCCTCGAGCCAGAAGCAAAACCCTAGAGGCCTTCTTTTCTCCAGGAGAACATTCTCACATCCACACATGTTTTCAAGTGGGAGGAAAGCCCATTAGCACATTATAGACACTGCAAATTAGAAGTGCAAATTTTTGAAAAAATAAGGGGGAAAAAGTCCAGAGTATTAAGTTGCCTTTGGAACACTTTCCACTGGACCTCCAGGCTAAAAGGAAGTAGGTCATCTGGTCTGCCCCCTACCCAGCCTGTCAGAACAACACCTGGACCTCAAAGTCCTGATGGACAGACTGCACAACCTCTCCAGTATTTAGCATCCTTTTAGCCAGAAATCCCCTCCTTACTGTCATCAGCCATAAGTCTTCATTAAATTCTTAAATGCAGCCATCCCTGCTAGATGTTGAAAAAACAGAGAGAACAATACAATTCAAGAGCCCTGGGGATCTGCAGTCTTGACCAAACAGTGTCACAGTTCCATAAGGACACAAACAGCGTCACAGCTCCATGCGGACACGTAGAGGGAGTCTGCGCAAGGCGGCTGTGAAGGGGACCACCATGAGGGACAAGCCCCAGGCGATCACTATCGTGCTGTGTATCATTCCAACAAGATGGAACTCACGCACCATCTTCCACTCAACCTGGGAACTTGGCCAGAACAGGGCAGCATGCTGGCATTAACTCTCTGTCATTTCATTTCAGTTCCCCTGATTTTCCCTCTGGAGCTGGCCAGCGGCAGGTATGCCAGATGGAAGAATGCCATTTTTGCCTTTGGCCTGTCTCTCTGATTGCACTTGTCAGCCTTGTCTATTTATTAGTGTGTGTTTTTCATCTCATGGGGACAGCCAAATAGAAATTTTGCTATTTTTTAACTGAGCATAAAGAGTGACCATTCATGACATGGCTCCCATCTGTGGCAGGAGTGGCATCTTTCTCATTTCTCTTTGGGGAGGCAAATTCGTAGAGGAATTCCTCAGTGTTTGTGTTTCAAACAAGTAAGCAAAGATGTTGCCTGTCTCAGCTGTTTTGTGCAGTGACAGTGAATAGCACAGCAGTAATCCACCTCCCAGGTGGTCTGGGTGCTGAGACAGCCTGTAAAGCTCCCCCAAGCGTCCCGGGAGAAAGCTCCCAAAGCTCAATGCAAGGCGAGGCTGCCTGGAGATCTTGCCTGTGGTAATCAATGAACTCAAGAATATCACAAGGTGACTCCATCTTCCTTCCCATAAACCAATGGTTCCCAATGCAAATAAGGAAGGTGGAGAGTTAGGTAGCATATCTCAAGAGTCTTTTGTCTTTTTTAAAATATATTTTTATTGATTTCAGAGAGGAAGGAAGAGGGAGAGAGTGACAGAAGCATCAGTGATTAGAGGGAATCATTGATTGGCTGCCCCCTTCATATTCCCAACTGGAGATGGAGCCCACACTGGGGCATGTGCCCTGACCAGGAATCGAACCCAGGTTCACAGGTCAATGCTCAACCACTGAGCCACACCAGCTGGACTCGAGTCTTTTGAAAAGACATGACCCTTAACCTTCCATTCCACTGAAGGGAAGATGTGGGGGAAGGGAAATTTTGATGGCAGGAAGGTAAGAGGAAAAATGGACTCAAACCTGCCTTTCCCCATCACAGCAGGAACAAGGGCAGCAGCATATTGTCTAATTAGCAGTATGATCCTGAAAATGGACCTGTCCTCCCCTCCTAGGCCAATGAGATGGTGGCCAGCAGAAGGATGTGTCCTGGGGATGTAGCATGTGGGCAAAAAGTTAAAGAATATTATTTATTTGATGAACACTGTGCACATGAGCTCCATACAATAAAAATATGGATACTATCTGTTTTCATTCAATTTTCTTTTGAATCATAAAATTAAAAATCTACAATTTAAAGAGCAGGAACTCCATAAATCAAGCGGTATCACAACCTCCTCAGCACCAGAAAGGTGGTCCTTCCTCTTCCTGACAGACACTTAACATTTGTTCTTCTACACAGGGCTGCCTGCATGGAGCTCCCCTG